AAATGTCTTGCACTAATTAATCAGCTGGAGTCACTTTAGATAAAATACGACCAACATGCATATCAACTTGACCTTCTGAGGACTATTTCCATTAATTCCAAGTTTTTAAAATTAACACCAGATTTCGATGATTCACACTCAATTCGTTGCTTATAAGGGCTTTTGGCAAGGCCGTTCAGTTTCCATAGTAAATGTGGCAGCTTGCATTACAAGCTATCCGAAATTATCAAATAGTGTATAGAATTTTCAACCTTACTTTTTGCAAGTTATGTTGAAAATCTAACATCACATTCTAGTGTAACTACATGAGCGTGTCTTTACTATATTTTAGTGATTTATGTAGATTATAGATGTAACTTTGCTATTAAGAGAATCGCAGGTTTTCCGCCTACGTGTGTATGACTCAATCTCTACTTAGTGTCATCTTAAGTTATAAAAAAATATAGACGAAGAGTTTGTTTGTTCACTAATCTATGGAAATTAGTTTTTAATCTGTAATAATGAAGAATGTTTTCTATGGATTTTGATAAAAAATGGCATTTTCATCATACGCAGATTATAGTCTGCAAGAAATATAGGTATATAGGATACTTTTTATCTACTTACATGCTAGTAGCATTTAATATAATGAATTAGACTAGACATAGACAAATGAAACATAATCTATTTTTTAATCAATACAAGAAGCCATGTGGGTAGCGATGTGTCTATCTGTTGTGATTTAAAATAATTAACGGTTTTTTGACTCTAAGTTACGACTTCGTAGAAAGAAATGGATTTGTGGACAGGCGCCTTTTAATAAGTATATGAATAATTTATAAGCATTTTTTTTTTAATTTCTTCAGCAGACTATTCGTAATAGTCATGGACGAAAATAAATTACAGAATTTCTTAGCTTTGGTCCTATTGCGTAATTTAATGTTTAATTACAAAAATAGAAATAGAAATGGCTGGCGAAGATAAAATTAGGTACTAAGAAGGTTTTGAAACAAAAATGGTGTCTGGATATAAAAAAAATAGAAAAAGAATAAGATAGAAAGAAGATGTACTTAATGCAGACTTTTTAGTACATCGTTTCCAAGGTGTATTGTAATTGAACGGCTTTTACATATATTAACATTGACCTGACCCTAAACTTCTAATATATATGTAGGTACACTTCTAAAATGTCACAAAAACAATTGCTAAACCAATTGCGAAGAAATATGACGTCATAATGCTATCTTCTTATTGGCTTATCCTTCTACGCTTGCTAGAGCAAGCGTAGAAGGATAAGCCACCATGTCCACGTTAACAAGGATTAATTAGGATTAAACAGAAATTAAGTGCTGTATTATTGATTAATCTGTGTTGTTTCGTTTTATTTGTCGCATTTATGATTTACTGAAGACGATTTCTAAGTCTGATTTTCAGTAGAGGCATGCAAATATTATATGTTCAGTTTTTTTTTGTTGTAATAGAGAGCATAGTTAAGATTTATATTTAATAGGTGAAGAACCTTCCGATAAGTACCTACTTTATATTTTTACCTTAATCCTTTAAGCTATGAAAGCTAGGAAATAACATTATAATTACAAACAAATTATAATAAACGGCAACTTTAAAGAACCGTTTTAACGGTACCACATCCTAGAGCGATTCGAAAAAGCTGTTTTATAAATATTTCTTTATTTTTATTCACTGGCAATTATTTATCAATAAATATCTATGGAATATAGTAATTTGAATCATCCGATCCGATCCGATCATGGAATCGGAAGCCATAGCTAAGTTGCGGTTAGCGGACATCGTGGCGAGTAATATAATCTGTACCTACTTCGGACAACTATCCGATCGTTGACTGGCCATAAGAAGCTGTATATCAAGGTTTCTTAGAGGACTTGGTACTTGATTGACTCTCTGACATAATGAATGATGTCATCTCGTCCGTATACATGTACGCAGATACCCATTATGTACACACGTGCATATGTTTTTGGTAAAACGCGTTTTATATTTCACCTCTTTTTTCGAAGCAATTTTGCTTGCTGATTTTGTTTTGTCTGAGTCTGTATATGTTTGAAAAAAGGTTAAGTGTCAAATTTCGAATTCGGAATTTGTTAATCTATGCAATCGTTCAGATATTAATAGTACCTAACTGTCAACAAATTACGATTTCAGAAAGACAAGGTAAACGGAAACAATTAATTGCAATTTTAGCGAAAAAAAAAAAGAAATGTAGGACATTAAGATTTAGGTGCAACAAATAACAGTTACAGATCTTACTAGCAAACAATCTTAGTCACGTCTCAAAAAAATATCATACTTATTCAAATATCAAGAGTAGGTAGAGAGTACCGAAAACGATTACCGTATTTAAGTCACCTACTACACGAATACCACCCGATATTCGAGTATCGCGTCATCGTTATTTAGGAGCAGTGTGGGAGTCATTGTACATTAATTTTGTGCAAAAAACTAACTTGTACCTTATTATAATGCCGTTAAGTGCTAAGGATGTTATTAATTTTCACTTCACTATGATTTCTTATTATCATTACATTACTTTAAAAATACTAGGTATTATTCTAATCTTTTGTGTTACAGTAGCGGGTCTTTTGCTAAAAGCAAATATCGACACCAATACAGTACCTGTCGTAATTTTCTGAAAGAATTTGAACTTTAGTGATCTCACTTTAAGTCTGTAAATCCCCTGAAAAGCTTAACGATATTAAAAACCAACATACATTTGGAACAACATTATTATTAGTTGAGAACGTAATGATCAAATGATTCAGCTACGTCATCTTCAAAATACTAGGAAACGCAACAAAAATATCAGTACCGGCTGTTATTTTCTCGGAATTTATCAAATCACTGTTATTTGTAATAGTTACTGGGTACGTACATAATATTAATCATGGCGGAAAATTGGCGCCCTCTTCCCTATTATGGGAATCCTTACACGCTTTTTGTAAGGCATCAATAACGTGTAATAAGAGTTCGGACTTGGCTAGTAATTGCTTTGTAACCTTTCAATTTACAACTTGTTTTCGTTCTAATGAGTGGGTAATTTTGAGATTGGATGCGGCTTATTATGTGTTTACTTTGTCGACATGTAAGGAAGTCAAATGAATGTGTATTTTAAGATGATAGAGTTTTTCATTATGAGCTGTTCTCAACGATGTGTGGATGGTACAAGGAGGTTGTAATGAGTTTAATGTAAATAGGAAAAACATCGTGGTGAATTCTAAATTCAGAAACTTTATTATGCACAGTTATTTTGAAGTTTTTAATGTTTTATGGGTTGACGGCCATAATTACACAAAGGAAATATTATGTTAATTCTTTTCGCAAAATTTTTCTTAAGAAAATACTCGGCATTTTCATAAAATAACATCACTAAATAAAATTAATGCACTAACAACGAACAGAACAGATGTTCAAAAAAAGAACAACTTTTAAAAATAGCGCGAACTCGCGATCGCCATATTGAAATTCGAAAATTTCATTTCCACATATGAACATGGAAGCGTTCCGAGGTTATGGCAATGACAGTGGTTGTTTTTTTTTTATCTTTACCTTACACTACCATAACGAGGGCGGGTAATGACGAACCTTCTATGGCATCTACTGACGACCACCTGAACTTGTAATATAAAATATTAAGTATACTATTGGTACGATTTGTTGATATATATAATGGTACAGATTATAAAATTTACTTTAAAAAATACGAATTCACCAGGTATGTTGTGGAATGACCCTCGTGAAGCTAGTGGTTTGGGAGTAGTAGACAAGATGTAGAACCTCTACGCATCATAACTATCAACTTCGTGACATCTTTTTCTTAACTTTTTTTCAATAAAATAAAAAAAAATATTGTAATGATGACTTAGAAAATACAAAATATATGATCAATAATGATTTTTTAGTTAGCTGAGTACTGAACAAAGTTTCAATCGTATGATTAAATACATACTAATTTCAATAATACTGTTGTTATTGTACATGTCCAATCTTGTATAGAATTACAAAAATCGTTACATTATAAAGCTTTTAAAAAAAGAACAACAATAGCTGGCATCTGCCAGATGGCCAGCGGTAAAATAGCTCGGTGAATTAAAAAGAAAAAATCCTAAAGCTTGCCACACACCGCTTCAGTGTGTATCATAGTGTTGGTTGGATCGTGAGTTATGTGCGATTAGCTATAAAATATAAAGGATAAGTTGCACCTTATTGAGCGATATATCATTATACGTATCGCGTGAATTATGTTATTATAGCTCCCGTATAAAAAGACCAGGGTTTAATGTCAAATCAAATATTTATGTAATCTAGATTAAAAAAAATACTACCTAATTAGATATTAACTTTTATGTATACGGATTATGGACAAAAATAAATCTATATCTACAGAACTTTCACATCAATTAATTAATATAATTAAGATGGTTCTTTTAAACTTTTAAGACTAATTAAAGACAGATAACATCTGTTGTATAATTTTATAGGTATTTTAAACAGTCTGCATAATTTCAAATTATACGCCCGACTATGAAATTATTAAGGTCGAATGTCAGTTGCACATCGTAAAAAATAAACTTGTATTAACATAACGTAACATTATTTTTTATCGATGTCCTTTTTAGCACTTATTAACTGGATTACGGTGTAGTATGGTCATCAAAATTTGTACCTAAGTTGAAATTGTATCATTTCATTCCAGTGTTTTTAAGCAAATTATTTCGTAAAACATGTTTTCATTGTTTCATATGGACGTGTAGGTAAGTAGTGTGACTTCTTGTAGGTAACTTATTTATAAATTTAATAACAAATTTATCCTTCATGTTTCACTGTTTCTAATTTTCATTGAACAATAGGTACCAATGTCACAGACAAAACATCGCAATCAACCTTATCGTGCACCTAAACTTTCTTCCAAAACCAACCTTATGTCCTTCATACCTTAGGTCCAAATGTGATCCTTACTCCAAAATACTTAGAACAAGGGTACTTACCAGCACGGAACACCTCGCCACAGCCATCGCAACGGCTAGCGAACTGGGCATCATAACAGTTGCCGCAGTAGATCTTGTCAAGCTTGGAGCCGAACTGCTTGTCTACCAGGGAGACGCGGCACTTGGCGCAGAGGAAGCAGGCTTCGTGCCAGTGCTTGTCTTTGTACGACAGGTCCTGTGGAAGAGGAATGGGGAATAAGTGAGATGGGTTAAAGACAGACAGATGATAACACGCCATTTTTGAAGAGTAAATAGGGTAGGGTTTTCCTAAGAAGAGAGAGACTGTCTCCGAGAAAATAATGAAAAGTTCAAGTGAGATGGGTTAAAGACAGACAGATGATACTACGCCATTTTTAAAGAGGAAATAGGGTAGGGCTTTCCTAAGAAGAGAGAGCCTGTCTCCGAGAAAATAATGAAAATTTACTAATCTTACTATCCTGCAAATATTAGAAATTTGGAAGTTTGTGAGAATGTATATTATGGTTTCAAAACGGGTAGACCGATTTGGTTGATATTTACGATACCTTGGTATGTGTAATATACCCTGGTCTAAGATAACCATGGATTAATATATAGGCTGCTTTTTATCAACAAATGACAGCAAATCGCGGACGAAGCTAGTAAAAAATAAGTCACTTCTCACATTCATGCATTCTTTATCATATTAAATTTAAAGGAACTAAGTATTATAGCAAATTATGTTCAAAACAGAAGACCTGCACCCGAAGAAAATGTAGTTAGTTGTACTAGTACGACTATAAATACTTTAATCCGATGTAAGCTTGCTATTGTTATTTTGGAGACGTGGTTCAAATATTAACATAAACATTGTTATTCAATTTAAATAAATGACATCGAACAAACTAAAATAATGGTGAGGCTCGCGATAAATATTTAAAAAACCACTATGAATAGCTATGACAGAATTGAATTTAAATAAAGGCGTGATTTAGAAAAAAAACGCTCCGAACACGAAAACAATAATTAAATATGTTCAAATCCGACGTGGAAGACATAAATCAGGGGTCCTTACATCAGATCTTCTTCAATGAGATGGAAAATCCATACAAATTGTGCGCAAAAAACAACTGGCTCCTACGACAGATGTTGACTACTAAGCGTGGGTGGTAATTATTAACTTCAACTTGTCCGTAGATTAACGAGAACAATCAATTGTAACAGAGAACTTACTTATACGGAGAACATTAACTTCAGCTGTCATTCCTAAGATTTGCTACTAAATTGCATAACAAAACCCACATCTCAATTGGTGGAAATACCAGCCACCGTACACAGGGCTATTTTGGTCCATGATTCATAAACATACATTTTCCATTTCACATAAACACTCGACTGCAATCCTATTTATTACTTATCAAGTTCACTGACCAAACAACGAGCTTAACCTAAAACCTTAGTTCGTGCGCCACAAATATCTTCATCTTTCGGGTCAAAGCATTCGTGTTAAATGAAAAACTCAAATACATTCTCTCACGTTGCATTTGACGTGTTTAGTTCAAGTTTCAAAATAAATCTCTCCTCATTCTGGATTCTATTCCTGGCCGCGGTGCGAGGACCGACAGAACGTACATTTAAAACTGAATGTCGTAATGTCAATAAAATATGAATGTTTATTTTGGCCGATTACGAAACTCTTAGAGCTTCTTGGATCGCGTAAATCTTAAAAGAATCGTCTGACGGATCCACCCAAAAGTTTTCAAGGTTGGCGCTAAACGAAAACATCAGAACACTGTATCCGACCCAGAAATAGTTTAGTTTGTGCTAACACGCGATTTGTTGTCTGTAAGCGATCGTCAATTTGTTAAAGTCTCGTCCACCGCGGCAAACAGTTGGATGTAATGCTAACAATATTGCCGGTGGGCGCTCGTCATAAGTAAACAAAGCGCTAATGTGTTCTTGACTGCCGCAATAAATAGCATCAAGGGGTTCTAATTTATCACCCACTGCTTGACATTGTCTAAACTTCTATTCATCAGTAATGGAATACCTACTTTCATTTATCATGTTTCCCAAAGTATTTACTCTAAATTGTCTGCTACCTACGAGTATAATGAAATTGGCGCCTATAAAGCGCGAATATTCTTGGGGCAGGGCCTGAGGGTAATATTTCATATGATTTATCACAAGTGTATTATAACAATTGGTTCATGCAAACACTAGTAGCGTTTGCAGCTGTGTGTAGACGGGAAAAGTCATTGGTAGCTCGTCGAGATAAATGTATAATGTTTGGCGTAACGTTAACGTTATGTTGGCTTGGCAGCGCTCTGCCTGGGGCCGTGTGCAGAGGTGCGCCCGAAGAATCTGGGCCGGCTGGAGTGACATTACTAAATTTGATCGGTGAAACAAAGCTGACGAATGCCGTGGATACTAGTCCTATTCATACCACACATACGATACGCAGAGGATTCTGTGTCAATGATGATTTCAATCAAACTCAGTTCCCAAATGCAGTTTTGGGTGTGGATTTGTTTGTTGCCAATAAAACAAAATGTCATTTACGAGCTGTAAAAGCTAGACAATAAATTTGTTTACAGTGGATTATATTATATATCTAACTACCGCTATCTAAGAATCCTGCCAATTTTCGTCTGTTGTTTAGTTTCAGAGTAAGATTATCTTTCTCGAAGCTATTATTTATCAACTGAAAATAGCACTCGTCTGAGCACTTCGTGATGTTTTAAGTACTATTTTAGATTCTAAATCGTAGAGATCTTGTGACAAAACAAATACAATGTATCGTTGTCCCACAAGTGATCAAAGTTTACTTGATGTAATGTTTCCTCAACAGGGAAACGAAGATAAAAAAAGACGGAAGGTATTCGTATAACTTTGTGACACAATAATTGCTAAATATTTCGTATCTGTTGTGTGGACGATCAAAAATGTAGTTTATGGAGCTAACCTTAGAGTCGATGCCGATGGTTTTGTTGCATTCTTCGCAGCCGTTGGCGAAGACGCTTTCGTAGCACTTGATGCAGAAGGGGTGCTCATCCCTGAGGACGTAGCGCTGGCCGGTCAGCGACTCGTCGCACTGCCAGCAGCAGAAGTGACCGCTGTGCCAGTCCTTGTTCATCGCCTTGGTGTACTCGCCACTGAAAATAAGCTGAGAACAACAAAGGCCTGGTTAGCGTCAATTACAAAACACTCTTAAAGGTGTAATAAATTAAGAGAGACAATTTTAATTCTGCTTTTAATGCATAATGTGATGTTTTAAGGCAGATTTTGTAGAGTTTATAATATAACAAACAAGTTATTGTTTTTATTTCTTAACGTATAATTTTATGGCGGGAGTTAGTTTTACAGTTTGCACTTGGTTAATGGAAGGTGCTAGGTATTTGTAATTTCATCCAATTTCAATTCGCATTTTCGTAATGAATTCAAAAAATTCGTCATTTTATAATGATGCAAGTCATGGTTCTGATTAGTACATATGGTTTCTGTAGATGAAATCCTAAAACATTAGATAAGTACCTTCGATTAGGTTGGGTATGTGAGGGTGGCCAAAAGACGCCAAACGGAGTACATAACATAAACAATGTACGCGAGCATGTCACTCGAGGGAACGCGATCGGTAATCGACACTTGGCTGACACGAACACACTGGCGCGGGCGTCACTACGCGGGTCAAGGGAGGTTGGCCACCACTACACATACCCATCGTCGTTGTTGGTTGTGGTGTTGGTCTGCTCGACTTCCGTGACGGTGACTTCCCCATCCTTAGATTCCCTGCGCTTGGAGGTCTTCTTGACCTTCCTGGTTTTGCGCTCCGTGGTGGTATACTGGACTTGTACGTCAACGTCGGCCATGGCACTAGTCGGGGTTGTTAGTTAAGAAGATACGATATCACCGGACGCGGTCGCGACCCGAATTCGAATGGCGAGCAACGGTGGCCGAATCGCAGGAATTATTCCAGAATGTTTAGCCGCTCGGGACGGTGGGGGGAGTTTGGGATTTAAATTTGGAAGAGTGACGGAGAGGGCAGGTGCGCGGGCGGCGTTTCCGAACTATGGCGACTTGAAACCGCGCGTTTTCCTATCCCAGATCCGCTGGTATCCTTCCCTGCTTGTAAGTGATACGATGGTTGAGCGGAACGTTTGAATATTTGATCAAACGGGGATATCCGTTATGTTAACATGTCAATTACACGAACAATATGTTTACACAGACCCTACAAATGCATAATTAAGCTTTAATGTTTGTGCAGCGCAAACTGGTAGCTGTTTTATTTGACGAGTCGACATAGATTAATTTGATTGATGCTGATCATTAACCCGACAAATTGTTTAGAAAGGGTGCGAATAAATAATATCGTGTGCGTACATAGCGAGCAAATAATTAATTATGTGATAAAACATTTCTTAATTTGAAATTGCGCAATTACAATCGTTTAGGCACCAGAAATAACTGTGACTTTACATTTAGACATTTCTAACGTTTCTGCTGAGAATTCTCTTAAATTAATCTGTAATAATTATTAATAGTTTTTTATTCATGATTCTGAATTATAGGTTTTAGACATAACGTCTATTTTTCTTAGACGTCTGTATCATATCCATCTTTAACTGTACAAATAAAACGGTTCCATGAATGATTGACAGACTGACAGACATTGAATGCATCTAATAATATAGAAGGAAATTGATGAAGATATTTATTTATTAAGCAATGAAGCGAGAAGTGATTTCTTAGGAAACGATGTATAAAAATGATTTTAAAACTTAGCGTTAATGAAATAGGGTTTGTTTTGTAGGTAAAGTGGTGTTCAACTTTCATAATTTATAATGTTTTTGTACTTAAACACAAGTTATGTATTATTATACTTAGTGTAGATTTAAATGAAATGTCTTTCCATTGAAATAAAATCCTCCTGCTTTCTCTACACAAGTATTTTCCCGTAACGATATTGGAACATTATATTGCTTTTGTAACAAGTATTTTAGTACTTATGTCAAACTAAACCAATGGTTTAGGTATATACAACTCCTAATGCTTATGGGAATAGTAGGATTGTTTTTAAGGACTAAACACAATTTATTTTTATCTGCTTACGGAACTCCTTTCTTTTAAAACTGTCAATTTCTTTCATACTGGCTAAAGCTCGCCCTGTGAACAGTTTTGCATGGGGGCATGAGAAGAGTCCAGCTCTAGCTTTTTTTTTGTGAGAGGAAAATCATCAAATGACTTCTCCCGCAGGGCCGGGCGGGAGGGAGTGTCAGACTCTTACTGACTAAAAACCCCCCTGTTCCTTCTCCTGCTCTGGCCAGAGGTCGCGGTGCCTCATTACGCTTACCCCGCAACCCCGGCTAGTCCCGCTCTCCCTAAGATGTTGTTATGTTACCTAAACAGTTAAAAGACTTTTCCAATAACTTTTGGCAAAATCACAAACATCAGAGAGCTATTAGCTAGAACAACAGTTCCAAGTAACGAACTTCAAAGACAATATTAATTTAAACATTTGTATTTCTCAGTTCTTTTTCGACTAAAAGCGTTACATTATGACATTGACAGCTGTATTGATGTGTCATTGTTCATAGTTTTGCAAAACGACGTAACTTGTAAGTTAGAAGCTTTTTAAAATGTATTTTGTAAGTATTTTATTACCAGTTTATTGCACACTAGATTGCCCATTTCCTGGTTTCTGTCAAATATCCATCCTAAGGTTGTCTGGAAGAAATCACGTGTGAGTGAGTGATAAGACTGGACGGTCTTGTATACTACCTATGTAGCTGTAAGCCTGCTTTTGTTTTTTTTAATAATGTGTTCAATAAAGGAAATATATAAATAAATAAAATCTCTACATAGTATAAAATAAAGTCGCTTTTCCTGTCCCTGTATACCGATGTATGCTTAAATCTTTAAACATATGCGCGGATTTTGATGCTTTTTTTATTTGCGATAGAGAAATTAAAGAGGAAAGTTGACATGGATTAAATTGTAAAGAAATTTAGGATCAGCACTGCGCCCGTGCAAAGCCGGGTTGGGTCGCAAATAAATATAATTGTGTAAATTAAAAAATAAGCTAAAGAAAGAAAAGTAAGCTCATTACAGCTATTTCTAAATTGTATAAAAAATAAACTTTAATTATAGGGAGATTTTAATAAATTAATATTAAATTATTCACTCATTGAAGGAATTGAAGGCCTTATTACATATGCTGTGTGGAATCCTAGTTACTTAAAAACACCACCTACCCTTTTTTTGTTTCTAATGGCAATATATCTTTCATTTCATCCACATTGATCAACCTCGCACGTAACTTGAAACGCAACGGAAACGTCTAATTAATTATTGGAAGTTGTAGTAGCCTCAAATTGTAATCATTATAAGAAGACTCTTTTTAATTCTGTCAAACTTGTTTTCTATTTCATTTTATAATAAATACAAGGAAAATAACTAACATCCATTAGATACAAGTACGTAAACATGAAATCAAAGAGAAGTAGAAAAATAAATTTTCTTTTGTAATGCCGTAAATCTAATTGTTTTCCTTGCCTACTGACATACCTATTATTATTCTACAAACAACGAAATATGTCATTAAAATTTGTTTACGATACAAAATTCTTGGAAATTCGATGAATAAAACGAAAACGTACATAGCTAAGATTAAAGTCACTATTTTTGACTGAACCGAACTAAAATTACGCTCAAAGAGTCATGGTTGTAGTCAGAGATTTTCGTCAAGTTTCGCACGACTTTTCGTAGGCGGATTGAAAAATTTTAGACACTGAATCAACAGTTTGTGTGAATCCTACTTATAAGTTTTTTTTTTACTTGCAATAAACTAGTTCTTGATTGCGATCCCACCTGATGGTAAGCAGTGATGCAATCGTTGATGGTAAGGCGCACTAGTTTATTAAGAGCCTATTCACTCTAGCCTTGAAGACACCTAAATTGTATTCGGACGGAAAGACTGCAGCCGGCAAACTGTTCCAATCCCTCGATGTACGCGGTATAAATGAATAATGATAATGATAAGTAGTATAAACGCGACGTATTGTAAGCATGGATGGATTTTTGTTACCCTTTAGCGTAAAAACGGATGAAAGGATTCGAATAAGTTTAGAGCAGAGATATAGTTGGAATAAAACATAGGTTACTGTATACCCTAGGACTGTTGGCAAAAATGCTGACAGAAAATAGTTTCAAATATGTATATAATTCTACGAAAAACTTGCTACATAACATAACATAGACTACATTTTGTTCTCTCATTTGGTGTGCCTAGAATCGTGTACAGTTTATGATAATAGGCTTATTATCATTACTTATAACACGTATTATATGGGATTCACAACATATAAACACGTTAATTTAGACATCTGCCTACTCCATCGGCGTAGGAAAATTTGCGACAAATACGTTTATGATCCTACAAGATCGGATGTAATAAATTTTCTCAACAAACTTGCAACATACATAAAAAAAATATGGATGATTCATTTTTGGGGTTCCGTAGCCAAAATGGCAAAAACGGAACCCTTATAGTTTCGTCATGTCCGTCTGTCCGTCTGTCCGTCTGTCCGTCTGTCCGTCTGTCACAGCCGATTTACTCGGAAACTATAAGTACTACAGTGATGAAATTTGATGGGAATATGTGTTGTATGAACCGCTACAAAATTATGACACTAAATAGTAAAAAAAAGAATTGGGGGTGGGGCCCCCCATACATGTAACTGAGGGATGAAAATTTTTTTTTCGATGTACATACCCGTGTGGGGTATCAATGGAAAGGTCTTTTAAAATGATATAAAGTTTTCTAAAAAACATTTTTCTTAAAGTGAACGGTTTTTGAGATATCAGCTCTCAAAGTCGTAAAAAGTATGTCCCCCCCCCCTCTATTTTTATAACTACGGGGTATAAAATTCTAAAAAAAATAGAGGTGATGCATGCTAATTAACTCTTTCAACGATTTTTGGTTTGATCAAAGTATCTCTTATAGTTTTTGAGATAGGTTGATTTAACTGTAATTTTGGTTAAAGTTTATTATATTTGCTGCTACGGAACCCTTTGTGCGCGAGCCCGACTCGCACTTGGCCGGTTTTATTTTTCTTCCGTGTTCCGTTGCCTTCGAGATCGTCTAGACATACGGTCGATGTATTC